CCATAGTCCCAACTGCTTTTTCCCATAACTTTGTAATACATCATTTTAAAGTAATCTGATTTCATAATGTTTTACAGTATAAGAGTAACATCTATGGCTTCTTTTCTTGGCAGGTTACCTCTGGAGAGAACCAATCTAATTACCGCAAAAGCTGGCACATTTTAAGACACTTACACCATCCTGGTTGATTTTATGTCTTGGCTATTGTGAATTGTGCTGCAATAAACATAAGTGGCAAGATTTTTTTTTGACATACTGATTTCATTAGCTTTGGATATACACCTAGTAGTTGATTGCTGGATCATATGTTATGATTTTTTAATTTTTAATTTTTTGAGGAACCCCTAAATTGTTTTCTATAATAGCCATACTACTTTAACTCCTCCCAAAAGTGTGCAAGGGTTCCTTTTTCTCCACATCCTCACCAACACTTGTTTATCTTTTATCTTTTTAATGGTAGCCTTTCTAATAGGAGTGGAGGGTGTTATCTCATTGTGGTTTTTATTTGCATTTCCTTGATTCCTTAATGATTAATAATGTTGAGCTTTTTTGCATACTTGTCCATCTGTGCGTTTTCTTTTGGAAAAAAAATGCCTATTCTCGCCTTTGGCCCATTTTTAAATTGAGTGATCTTGCTACTGAGTTGTTTAAACTCCTTATGTATTTTGAATATTAACCTCTTATTAGATGTATAGTTTGCAAATGTTTTCTCTCATTCTATAGGTTGTCTCTTCACTGTTGATTATTTCCTTTGCTGTGAAGATTTTTACTTTGATGTAATCCCCATTTGTCTATGTTTGCATTTGTTGCCCTGAGGTGAATTTTAAATTGTATCTTAAACCACGAGTAGAACACCCTCAGGTAAAGAAGATTAGTGAAGAGAAAAACAGCAAACTATCAGAAATCTTCAGAGGATTACTTATCAGGTAATCTCTCTCTAAAGCTTTTAAAGGAATAGATAGAGTTTAAGAAAGGGCAAATATTAATAGCATATTAATTTCCTTTAGAGCCCTTCTAAAGAAAAGGAAAGGAAATCTTTCTCTCTGTTTTTTGAGATGGAGTCTTGCACTGTCCCCCAGGCACTCGCTGCAATCTCCGCCTCCTCAGTTCAAACAATTCTCCTGCCTTAGCCTCCCTAGTATTTGGGACTACAGGCATGCACCGCCCTGCCCAGCTAATTTTTTTTTTTTTTGTATTTTTAGTAGAGACTGGGTTTCACCATGTTGGCCCAGATGGTCTGACCTCCTGGTCCTCCCAAAGCTCTAGGATTACAGGGGTGAGATACCACGCCCTGTCAGGAAAGGAAAGGAAACCTTTCTAAAGAATCCAGTAAAGATGCTCTAAAGGAAAGAAAACCTTTCCTTTGTTTTCTTTCCTTTAGAGCATCTTTACTGGATTCTTTTGCAAATAAGGCACAGATGTCATATCAAGTGTCTTTGAATTACTATTTATCTGACTTTCAGCTCACCATTAGTTCATGCAAGACCATGACAGATTAAGAAACTAAACACCCAGTCATGTGAGGGCTCAAGTCAGAAGTCAAAAGAAAATGAGTCATGTAACAGTTAAAACCTTTAAGGCATACATCTTGCTAGGCATTGCGGCTCAAGCCTGTAATCCCAGAATTTTGGAAGGCCAAGGTGAGAGGACTGCTTGAGCCCAGGAGTTCAAGACCAGCCTAGGCAACACAGGGAGACCCTATCTCTACAATTAAATAAATAATTGATTGGTTAATAAGATATACATATAGTACCATAGTAAAAGGAAAGCAAAATAATCATGAACACAGGATTCAGAATAGTGATTACCTTGGATGCAGTGAGGGATAAAGGTGTTTTAGTCTGCTTTGTGCTGCTATAACAGACTGCCTGAGAATGGCTGATTTATAAAGAATAGAAATTTCTTTCTCAGAGTTCTGGAGGCTGGAAAGCCCAAGATCAAGACACTGGCAGATCAGGGCCCAGTCTCTCTTGCTTCCCAGATGGAACATTGAATACTGCTTCCTTCGGAGGGGAGAACACCATATTCTCATATGGCAGAAGAGAGAGAGAGAGAGACAGAAAGCCTACTACTCTCACAAGCCTTTTTTTTTTTTTTTTTTGAGATAGAGTCTTGCTCTGTCATCCAGGCTGGAATGCAGTGGCCCAATCTTAGCTCACTGCAACTACTACCTCCTAGGTTCAAGTGATTCTCACGCCTCAGCCACCCCAGTAGCTGGGACTACAAGCCTATGCCACCATGTCCAGCTAATTTTTTTGTCATTTTAGTAGAGACAGGGTTTCACTGTGTTGGTCAGGCTGGCCTTGAACTCCTGACCTCAAATGATCTGCCTACTTCAGCCTCTCAAAGTGCTGGGATTACAGGCCTGAGCTACCATGCCCAGTCTCACCAGCCGTTTCTATAGCAGCATTATGCATTGATGATGGTCCATCCCTCATGACCTAAACACTTCCCATTAGGGCCCACATTCTAACACTGTTGTATTGAAGATTAAGTTTCCAAAAAAAAAAATAAAAACAAAAAGAAACAAAAAAGATTAAGTTTCCAACACATGAATTTGGGGAAACACATTCAAATTAAAGCAGAAGGGAACAAGACGAGAAAGAACCACAGAGGTAGATGTAAATTATTGTCTGTGCTCTAGTTTTCCTGTGGTAGACTCATAAATGGTCTTTTTTTGAAATATATAAAATTATTAAAATAAAAGATATGAGCCAAGCATTACAGTTCTGGCCTCTCAGCTATCCAGGAGAGTAAGAAAGGAGGATTTATTGAGCCAGAAGTTAGAGACCAGCTTGAGCAACATAGCAAGGCTCCATCTCTAAAAAATAAGGCCAGGTGCCGTAGCTCACACCTATAATCCCAGCACTTTGGGAGATTGAGGTGGGAGGATCACTTAGGCTCCGGAGTTTGAGACCAACCTGGGCAACATAGTGAGACCTCATCTCTATAAAAAAAAACCCAAAAATAATTAGCTAGGTATGGTAGTAAATGTCGGTAGTCACAGCTACTAGAAGGCTGACACAGGAAGATCCCTTGAGCCCTGGAGGTTGTGGCTGCAGTGAGCCATGATCATGCCATGGCACTCCAGCTTGGACAATGAAACAAGACCCTGTCTCAATAAAATAATTTTTTAAATCTTTGGGGAATAGTCAGTGAATAATAAAAATTATAATCAAAAGAGATTAGAAATATAAATAAACAAATAAATAATAATAAATTGTCCAGGTGTGGTGGTGAATACACATAGTCTCAGCTACTCAGAAGGCTGAGGCAGGAGGATTGCTTGAACCAAAGAGATCAAGACCAGCCTGGGCCACATAATGAGACCCTGACTACACTAATAAATTAAAAAAGAAATAAGACTGGGGATGGTGGCTCACATCTATAATCCTAGCACTTTGGGAGGTGGAGGTGGGAGAATGATTTGAGCCCAGGAGTTCAGCAACAGCCTGGACAACAAAGCAAGACCCTCTCTCTAAAACATTAAAAATAAAATAAAACTTAGCTGGGCATGGTGGCACATGGCTGCAGCCCTAGCTACTCTAGAGGCTGAAATGGGAGGACTGTTGGAACCCAGGATTTCAAGGCTGCTTGAGCTATGATTATGCCACTGCATTCCAGTGGCATAGCAAGACCTGGCTTGTAAAAAAATAAAAAATAAAGAAGGTTGGAAGGAGTGAAGGAAGGAAGCCCTGCACGTACAAATGATGAGACTATGGTATCAAGCAACAATTATGGATAATTACATTATATGTATCAAATGTTCAATATGAAAAAACAAAAGAAACTGAATAATTAAAATTAGAAAGTGGAGGCAAGGCACAAAAAAAAGAACAATTAGGCCCTTAATTAATAGAGTCAAACTTTTAGAATGAGAAGTCAGGTGGAGTGGGTGAGGTGAGAAGCATTAGGTTTTAATCTGGGGGTATACACATCTAATAGGCTGAGCTTGGCTGTGCTTGATGACTCAGATTTACCTGACACAGGAGTAAGGTGGAATGGGGCCAGCTAGTGGAAAGCTAGAATTAGTTCTGGCAGAATACTCAAGGAAAGATTGGCTCTTCTGTTCTATAGCAGGTAGCTCTCCCTACAACTATGTGCTTCAGCTGGCTTCTAGGATCCCAGGAGTCCAGAAAGCAGAAATGGAACATGCTGTCTCTTTCTCCTAGCTCTATCAGAAAAGCAGTCAGGATGCAACATGAGATTTATACAGAAAGAGCCTAAATATAAGCAATGGAAAATAGGTTGGAGAGATTTGGAAGAGAACGATGAGGTATTAGTCCACTAGATAATTTCCTGACTTGAAAGGGGCTCAGTGATCTGTCCTTTGGGCCTTCTTTCAGGACCCAATGTCATGGGTGAAGTCATGAGGTACTTTAAATTCAAGTCTCTCTTGCTACAAATTGCCTGTTATTATGGCCCTATAGATTTTTCTTGGCCAACAACAGACTAACCTGAAAATACATTTATGAGGCATGGGATCCTAAGAACTAGTTTATCTGCTCTGGTGGTGGTGGAGTTGTAGGGCCAAGGAGAAACAAAGTTCATGCTTTAAATGTGAATACTTTGTGTGGAGAATGTTTTAGGTGGGGAAATGCCTTCTTACCTGTTTACATGGCATCATAATCCAATAAAATTTATAGATACCTACTGATTAAAGTTTCATAAAATGTTCTGGAAACTCTTTCCTAGAAGTATTAATGATATCTAAAAATCGAGCAAATTCTCAGACAATGAACTTACATTACAGTGTTTATGTATTTAAACATATAGTGTAATACAACCAAATACTAATCATCTAGTATATTCTTTTTTCTCAAACCCTCAAATTCCCAGAAAACGTCAATCCATAAAATACCTTTCTCTAAACCAATGGTATTTAATTCTTTTTTGAGGGACCCTAAGATACCTTATATTATGTTCCGCTTTTGGATTCTTTCATTCAGCATTTAGGATTTTACTCCATATGTTAAATACTGGAAACAGCAATAAATTACCTCTAATACAGTAGAGTCATTATTTCATGGCTTTATGCTTCCTGGTCCCAAGTCTCTGCTCTCATTAGGCTATGGTCTCTTCACTGCTTTCTAGGAAACCCCTATCATGCCAGCAGCCGTGCCTTTTCACCTAGGCAGTATAAGAAAGGATGATGTAAGGAATTAAACTACACCCCTTCTTCTGACAGTTACCATTCTGTTTTACCCTTTTTGTCTGTCACTTTTTCCCCCTTGTTCATAGGATCTCTTCCTTTTTCCCCCTAAGTCTTCCAGTGATCTCTGTGCATTCAGTTTGAAGCCCAATTCCAGTGCATCCCTGAATTATGGTCTCACTAAATTTACAAATTGTACTGGTGCCGCCATGAAGTGGCTTGAGGGGAAAATGAATTCCTGTAACAGGTGTCTATCGACATACTCCTTTAAAATATGCACTCCCAATCCTAAGAAGAATTACAGCTTTTTTTGCAGGAACCAGGAAAATTATGACATATATCAGTGTATAAACAGAGGCAACTCCTAGGCTCTAAAATTACTGCTTTGAAACTAAAGGAACTACAGAGCTGCTTGAGAGGGTGGAAGACCTTTTCTAATACGTTCTCATACTTGTCTACTCTGATTGGGGTGGCACTTAGGCTGCCACAATCTGGGTTTCCTGTCCTAGACCCTAACAGATGTGGTTTCTAATGCTTGGGAACCCACCATGACCGGAATCTACACGTGATCTGAGGGAGCACAGCTACTCTCAGACATGTACATGAAATCAGGGAACAGGGATTATGTCTGCCAGTTTCCACCTTTACTTGTGAGTCAGAGCAAGGCAGCAAAGTAAGAGTTATGTGGGTGTGTCTTTAGTTAAGTACCCTAAACTCTAAAGTACAATATATGGGTGTATCTTTACCTTAACCTTAGAGGGTTAGAGACACACCTTAGAGGGTTAGGGTACTTAACTAAAGACACACCCATATGGGGTACCTAACTAAAGACACACCCACATAAACAAGCCACAGCTTTCAGCAGAGTCCATGCTTAGGCATAAACATTCATGAACTCTGTTCTTCTAATGTTTGGATATAAAATATTGTGTCTTTGGAAGCTGATGTTATGTGCAAAAAGATTAATTATCAAGGTATCTAAAAGCCCTCTTTTGGGACATCCTCAAACTGAAGAGTTAGGCAATTCTGTAGTCCCCATAAAGTTCACGAATGTTACTCACTGCCCACAAGAAGCTAACTTTTGTACCTAGTAGGACTGAAAGAAATTCAGGGCACCCAACATGGCAGGGCACTATATGCAATGAGGATTCCCGTACCATGGTACAAACTGATATAGTTGGGATGTTTGTCCCCTCCAAATCTCATGTTCAAATGAAATCCCCAGTGTTGCAGATGGGGCCTGGTGGAAGGTGTTTGGGTAATTGTGGTGAATCCCTCTTGAATGGCTTAGTGCCATCTTCTTGGTGATGAGTCAGTTCTTGCTCTGAGCTCACGTGAGATCTGGTTGTTTAAAAGTATATAGCATCTCCTCCATCACTGTATGTGTGACATGCTGGTTCTCCTTCGCTTTCTGTCATGTTTGTAAGCTTCCTTGAGGCCTCACCAGAAGCAGATGCCAACACACACGCACTTCCTGTACAGCCTGCAGAACCGTGTGTCAATGAAACTATTTTCTTTATAAATTACCCAGCTTCATGTATGTCTTTCTCTCTGTTTTCTCTCTCTCCCTTTTCATTTTTCGAGACAGGGTCTTACTCTGTCACCCAGCTGCTGCAGTGGTGCAATCATGGTTACTGCAATCTCCGCCTCCTAGGCTCAAGTGAGCCTAGATTTAGCCTCCTGAGTAGCTGGGCCTACAGGTGTGCACCACCAGGCTAATTTTTGAATTTTTTTGTAGAGACAGGGTTTCACTATGTTGCCCAGGCTGGTTTCAAACTCCTAGGCTCAAGTGATCTGTCCACTTCAGTCTCCCAAAATGCTGGGATTATAGGTGTGAGCGCCACTGTGCCCACCTAGGCATTTCTTTACAGCAATGCAACAAGAAACTAACACAGAGGCAAGGACTGAATGCAAGTTACTCCCAAATGGCAGTGGAAACTCATAAGGCAAATTACATGAAATTATAAAAAAAAGTTCCAGGTACTAGTATTGTTCCAGATAAAGTTACATTCCAAACACTTGTATAGGCATAACAATAAGGTTCAACAGTCTTCTGCCAGATGAGTAGGATCCAGGAGTTTAGTATTTTAATAGGAAAATTAAAGTATAATACTTCAATAGGAATATTTGTTCCTATTAGTTATTGTGATATTCCATGACTTTATCTCAGGTTTTTTTTCTCCCTCTCTCCTGAGTGTATCTTCCACATTATGAGTATTCTATTACTTCAAAAGATCTTCCATTGATGAAACACTCTAGAATCAATTTTGATTATTGGCACTCCAGAATTAAATTTGTTTAACTTCCAGAATATTTTTTTAAATGCTGGCTTTTTATATATCTACAATTGTAAACATGTAATTTATTTTGTGTATCACAAATTTTTTTCTCTATTTATGTATCTTAATTCACTGCTTAATAACATAAGTAGCTTTGCTATGTGATCTGCTTAATGAAATACCGATTTGGGGTAAGTGTTCCCAGACCATCTTAGGGCATTCTGTTAATATATATCTTCTGTTCTTTTCCCCTCCCCTGCCAGGATTTCACATTTCATCTTAAAGGATTCATTAGTTCACTTCTACTATGCAAAAATGTCTTTATATCTTATATTCCCATTGTTACAATAAAAGTTTGTATAATAGCAGATGATATGCAAAGTATGTGTTAAGCAAATTGCATATTAGATGTTTTATTCAAATGTCAAAGTAAAACTTTGTCAGTTAAACAGCTCATAACAATATCAATAAATTTCAAGTTGTTGAATTGTATGTATTTTTACGATTTACGTCCCATTACAGAGACAGTAATCTTTCAAAAGCCACAGAGCATCAAAATTGTTCTCTAATAACTGAAACATATGAAACCTTCTAGCTATGTAGCAATAGTTGCTACTTGATGTTTTCTTGCATCATATTTTCTTTTTTCCAAGACAGACCTTTTGACAAAAGTGACAACATTCTCACCATCTTTTAAAAATTAAAATCACGATGTTTAATAAAACATGTTTAATGTTATTTAGAATCCACATGATGAATTTCTTCTTTGAAATTTTCAGCTAAAACCATTGGAAGTTAGACAGATAAAATATTGATAGGTTTTTTATTTCAGAGTAAACAAATAAAATTTCTATATGACTTTGAAATTGAGAGGTGCAGTGGCTCATGCCTCCTCTACTCAGGCGGCTGAGGGAGGAGGATTGCATGAGCCTAGGAATTTGAGATCAGCCTGAGTAACAATGAAAGACCTCATCTCGATTAAAAAAATGGCATGGTGGCGTGTGCCTGTTGTACAGAAGGCTGCGGTAAGCTATGATTGCGCCACTGTACTCTAGCCTGGATGACTTAGCAAGACCCTGTCTCTAAAAAATAAAAAACCAAAAAAAACACAAAACAGTTTCACAACGTACTACTCTTCTTTTCTCCGCCTTTTCTTTATCCTCCTCTTCTCTTCTTCTTTCTTCTTTACCTCATCCCTCTCCTATTCCTACTTCTCCTTCTCTTCCTCCTCCTTCCTTCCCCTTCTCCTTCCTTCCCCTTCTTCCTTCTCCTTCTTCTTCCTTCTACTTCTGTTTCTTTGGCAGGATCTTACTCTTTCACCTAGTACAGGTGCACACACCACATCCGGCTATTTAAATAAAATTTTTTTTAGTTTAAAAGTTTTTTTTACTTTTTATTTTTAGAGATGGAGGTCTTGCTTTTTTTTGCCCAGGCTGGTCTCAATCTCCCGGCCCCACGCAATCCTCTCACCTTGGCTTCCAAAAGGGTTGGAATTACAGGTGTGAGCCACCATTCCTGGCCTGTATTATTCTTTATACAGTATCTATTTTTAAAAAATTCTAATGCTTCTTCCTTCTTAATGTCTCATGTGTCATATCTTTTTTTCTCTTTCCATTGACACACATATTAAGCTAGATATTGATAACTTTAGATCAGCATGGCTACTGTAGATTCCTAATTAATCTCTCTGGTTATCTAAAAAAAAAAATCTAGTCTCTTGAACATAATGGCTTTAAAATTTCTTAAAGTCTTCCTAAAATTCCCCCAAATTATTTTTTCATTAGACATTTTCTTATTCACTAACTAACTTGTTATTCCTAGCCAAAATAATAATTTCTTGTGAATCATATCTTGCTCTTTTTCTAACCCTGGCTCCTACCAAGTACACCCATGCTAAATAAATACTTCTTAAAATTAATGACTTGGGGCCCAGGGCAGTGGCTTATGCCTATAATCCCAGAACTTTGGGAAGCCAAGGCGGGAGGATCACTTGAGGTCAGGAGTTCAAGACCAGCCTGACCAACATGGTGAAACCCTATCTCTACTAAAACTACAACAATTAGCTGAGCATGGTAGCACGCTCCTGTAAAAACCCAGCTACTCGGGAGGCTGAGGCAGGAGAATCACTTGAAACTGGGAGGCGAAGGGAGGTTGCAGCAAGCCAAGATTGTGCCACTGCACTCCAGCCTAGGCAACAGAGTGAGTGAGACTCTGTCTCAATAAATAAATAAATAAATAAATAAATAAATAAATAAATAAAACAAAATAAAATAAATGACTTGGGGCCATTCACTGTGGCTCACGCCTATAATTGCAGCACTTTGGGAGACTGAAGCAGAAGGATCATCTGAGCCGGGAGTTTGAGACCAGCCTGGGCAACAAAGCAAGGCCCTGTCTTTAAAATTAAAAAACAAAAAATTGTTTAAAGAAATAAAAGAGAAAATATAAATTAATAATATTAATGACTCTAAAATTATTATGAGTGGTTTTAGTACATAGCAGAAAGCAAGCAATACTGCAAGGGAAAAAGCAAAACAAAGAAAAATAATATGTAATAAACTCTTACCTTATCACCTCATGTATTCCTTTAAACAGCCCATAAGCTGGATATCATTATTCTCATTGCATACATGAGAAACAGGCTAAAATGTTAAGCGATGGCCAAGTACATGTAGATTGCATGTGGCAAGCTAAGAATCAAAGACAGGTCTGACTAAAACTTCTTGCCTCTTTCTCTGGCTTTTGGTGGTGCCATCTGTATTTTGAATTGGGATCATGAATTTCTCTGCTGAGAGAGAAGAGGGAATTCTATGCTAGACAGAGGCAACAATATGAAATAGTTATGCATTTATGTGGAATATTTAGGAAAATCGGAGTTGTTGACCATTGTTGGAACATAGTTCCACCATCCATTTCATTGGTGAATCAGGTAGAAAGACTGAGGAACCTGCTTGTGGTCTAGAATGGGACATGGGACTTGGGGAAGAAGGCAGAATTACCCATCAGACAGCCATGGTAGTATGTATGCTACCAGAGTATTCTGGAGCAAGGTGGAACTATCCCTTTTCTTTTCCTCAAAGGCAACCAATATTCTAACTTTTAAAATTTTGTTTCTGAGTATACATTAATTGAATCATGCCTCTATATTATTTGGTGTCTGGTATCTTTCAGGAAATATTAAAAAAGATGCATCCATATTGTATACACAGCTACAGTGTGGTCACTTTCACTGCTGAGTGGTATTTTCTTCCATGAATATGTCACATGTTATTCATCCATTCCAATTCCATTTGGGTTGCTTTCAATTTATAGCTAGAATAAATAATACTGTTAAGAACTTCCAGTGTAGTTTTGATATGTATGTTTGTATTCCTGGTAAGCATAACCCTAAGATTTTAGGAGATTAAACTTTTAGCAGATTAATACTGTTTTTGCAATGTTGTCCCAATTTATGGTCCTGCCAAAAATGCATGAGAGTTCCAGATCATCAACAAATTATCCAAATCAACTTTTTATCTTTTTCATTACAGGCAGGGTCTCTCAGGCTGGAGTGCAGTGATCTGATCATAGCTCACTGTAACCTTGAATTTCTGGGCCAAGGGATCCTCCTACCTCAGCCTCCTGAGTAGTTGGGACTCCAGGTCCTAACTACTATTGTGTTGTCTGTAATACTGATTAAGAAATCTCAGCCTACAGAAATGGTAGGATAAAAAGAGGCAACTCCAGTTGGAAATCACTTAAGGACAGGACAAAAACAGGAACAGAGAAAGAACAAATGAGCAGGGTCAGGTCATGCTCCTTTAGATTTCTTGTGTGGGTGTATTACGATGACTTAAAGCAACAAATTTGAGATGCACACTATATCAGACACAGGACTCCCCTACCAGACAAGGCTCAGTATAACTATTTTGGGGAAGGTCCAAGGAAAACATACATTTATGGGCAATTTTGAGATGTAAGCCTGGGTTGCAGCATGCCAGCTCACCAGAGCACTGCTCTTACTGCGTACTCTGATTTTGCCTGAAGCTGTAGGCCCTAGTTATAGAGCAAGGTGTATGTCAGTCAGGCCGGGCATGAAGACATGAAAGAAAACAAGAGTGGGCAGGGGTAAGTATAGGAAGAATACTGAAGGGTTGGTTAATTCAATGAATTATCTCAAAGAATCTCATGAAATAGTCCTCAGATTTCCCCTAGATGCAATTGTAAATGTTTACAAAGTATGTACAGTAATCCAGTGTTTTCAGTGTGATCTGTAAGCTTTCATGTTTGATATAGATTTCTGTATACTCCTTGGATATTAAGGAATATAATAAGAGTTTTTTCAGTTTTAACAGTCAAACTGACTGCTGAAAAAAGGTGAAAAGGAAAGGAGAATTTGTTTATTTAATTTAAAAAAAAGTTTAGGGCCAGGCACGGTGGCTCACACATGTAATCACAGCACTTTGTGAGGCCAAAGCGGGCGAATCACAAAGTCACGAGTTCGAGACTAGCCTGGCCAACATGGTGAAAACCCATCTCTACTAAAAATACAAAAAATTAGCTGGGTGTGGTGGCAAGTGGCTGTAATCCCAGCTACGCAGGAGGCTGAGGCAGGAGAATCGCTTGCACCCGGGACGTAGAGGTTGCAGTAAGCCAAGATGACACCACTGCACTCCAACCTGGGCAACAGTGCGAGACTCTGCCTAAAAAAAAAAAAAAAAAAAAGTTTATGATTTTAGGTATGACTAGATCCAGGCGTTCAAAGACAAATAACCAGGACTAATTGTCTCTCAGGCTCTTGCTCTCTCTCTAGCTCTCTCTGAAGGGCATGTATTTATTAGTCAGTATATTAGCATGCATTGAGACAGTGTAGCATAGTGGAGCTGAATATGTGTTCTAAATCTAGACTGCTTAGGTTCAAATCTCAGCTTTGGCACTAGCTATAAAACTTTAAGCAAGACACTTATCTTCACTGGCCTCATCTCTGGCTTGTGGATGAAAAATGTGAACCCTGTTTCTTAGAGTTACTGTAGAATGAAATGATCAATTGTGATTAACACATAGTAATTGCTCAATTGACAATAACTAGTCATTTCTTGTTTCTCCTTTCCTAAGCATTATCTTGAGTCTCAGACAGGCTGACCCTCAGGCTCTCCACATATGATATCAAAAGTGCAACCAACAGCTCAAAATTTTTTAGGTTAAAATCTGTTGGGAAGAGAGCTTTTCTGCCCCCAACAATTCCAATGTATAGCTCAGAAATGGCTTTCAATGCTTTTGATGTGCCTATTTCCCATTGTACATTTGTCTATGACCCAAGCACTGTGACAAGGCTAATGAGATTCTCTGACTGGCTTACATAATTACTTCTGGATCAAAGGTGGAGGGATCAGTCCCGACCTAACAATGCTGAATGGGAACCAAAGAGAGACAGTGCCCTAAGCAAAAATCTGGTGCATTTACCATAAGAATGACAATCTGATGACTAAGCTAAAACATTAGATGTCCAAGAGCAGTGGATCCTGTAGGTTTTCTTAAGCAGCTTATCCCACTATCAATCAGAGGCTGGTTCTTGGAGGGGCAGGGAAGTGGAGAATTAGGGATGGAAGCTGTAATGGTAATGACTGCTGTGATTAGCTGAATGGGTAGAGCAACATGCTCTGCAAATTCTATTGTAGTGAATTATGCCTTGGGCTTGTATAGTATGTAGAAGTGTTAATGATCTAGGACACAGTGCAGTAATTGGCTTATGATGCTGGGTTACTGACAAATGGATACCGAGATGGAGAACTTTGAGCAGTGGCTGCTGCAAGTTTGAGGAGAAAAGTGCTCATTGGTAGGATAGCAGTGTTAGACTTGGCAGTTTTTCCTTTTTTTAAAAATTTTATTTTATTATAGTAAAAACAAATAAGTGAAATCACACAGTATGTGTCCTTCTGTGATTGGCTTGCTTTGCTTAATGTAATGTCCTCAAGGCTCATCCATGTGGTTGCATATTGTAGAATTTCCTTCTGTTTTAGGGTCAATATTTACCATTTGTATATGCCACACTTTAAAAATCCATTCATCTTTCCATAAACATTTAGTTTATTTCCACATCTTGGTTATGGTGAAATAGTGCTGTAATGAACATAGGAATGCTAGCATCTTTGAGATCCTGATTTCAATTGTTTTGGATATATACCCAGAAGTGGGATTGCTGGATCATACAGTAGTCCTACTTGTTAATTTTTTTTTAGGAAGCTCTCTACTGTTTTCTACCGCAACTGCACCATTTTATGTTCCCACTAACAGTGTACAAGGGATCCAATTTCTTTGCATTCTTGCCAACCCTTGTTTTTTGTTTCCTTTGATAATAAGCATCCTGATAGGTGTAAGGTTATTATCTCATTGTTGTTTTAACTTGCATGTCCCTGTTTTATGATATTGAACATTTATTTTTCACATATTTCTTGGCCATTTTCATGTCTTCTTTGGAAAATTGTCTATTCAAGTCCTTAGACCATTTTTAAAATCTGGTTATCCATTTTCTTACTATTGAGTTGTAGGAAATCATTGTATATTTTGGAGATTAACTCTTATCAGAATATGGTTTGCAAATATCTTCTTCCATTAGGTAAGGTGTAAGTTGATTTTTCACTCTGTTAATTTTGTTTGTGTGTTTGTTTTGTTTGTTTGTTTTCTGTTCAGGTTTATGTACCTTGATGTAGTCCCACTTATTTTTGTTTTTGCTGCCTGTCTTTTTGGCGTCATATACATAAAAATCACTGCTGACCAATGTCATGAAGCTTTTCCCCTAAGTCTTTTTTCTAGGAGTTTTACTGTTACAAGCCTTAAATTTAAGCCTTTCATTCATTTTGAGTTGACTTTTGTAGATGGTATAAGATCAGGGTCCAATTTCATTATTTTGCATATATTCAGTTTTCCCACTACCATTTGTTGAAAAGACTATCCTTTCTCCACTGTGTATTCTTGGCATCCTTGTCAAAAATCAGTTGACAGAATACATATGGATTTATTTCTGGGCTTTCTGTTTTGTTCCACTTTTCTATGTATCTGTTTTCATGCCAGTATCATACTGTTTTGATTACTGTAGCTTTGTAATATATTTTGAAGTCAGGATGTGTGATGCTTCTAGCTTTGTTCTTTTTCAAGATTGATTTGGCTATTCATGGTCTGTTGTGGTTCCACATGAATTTTAGAATTGCTTTTTCTATTTCTGTAAGAAATGCCATTGGGATTTTACAGGGATTGTATTAAATCTGTATTGTTTTGTATAGTATGAATATTTTAACAATTTTAAATCTTCTAATCCATGAACACAGTATCATTTCATTTATGTATATCTTCTTTCTTTCAGCAATATTCTACAGTTTTCAGTGTATGTCTTTTACCTCCTTAATTAAGGTTATTCCTAGGTATTTTATTTTTTTTGGTGCTGCTGTAAATGGGACTGTTTTCCTAATTTTCTTTTCCAATACAAAAATAATCAGTGTGATTTGCCACATCAAAGATAAAATCCATATGATCATTTCAATAAATGCCAAAAGAGCATTTTATGAGATTCAACATCCTTTTGTAAATCAAAAACAAAAACAAAAACAAAACTCAGACTCTCTCTACTACAATTTGGGAATTTTTTTTTTTCTGTTTTTGAGATGGAGTTTTGCTCTCATTGCCCAGGGTAGAGTGCAATGGTGCAATCTCGGCTCACCACAACCTCCGCCTCCCAGGTTCAAGCGAGCTTCCTGAGTAGCTGGGATTACAGGCATGCACCATCACACCCAGTAATTTTGTATTTTTAGTTGAGACAGGGTTTCTCCATGTTGGTCAGGATGGTCTCAAACTCTCGACCTCAGGTGATCCGCCTGCTTCAGCCTCCCAAAGTGCTGGGATTACAGGTGTGAGCCACCGTGCCCAGCTCATGGGAATTGTTAAAAAATTTTTAAAAACGAAGAGAAGGGAAGTACCTCAATATAATAAAGTATATATATGAAAAGCCAATAGCTAACATCATATCTGTCAGTGGAAAACTGAAAGCCTTTTCTCTGATCAAGGTAAAGATGCCCACTCTCACCAATTCAGTTCAACAAAATAGTAGAGGTCCTAGCCAGAGCAAAGTGGCAAGAAAAAGAAATAAGAAGCATTCAAATCTAAAAGGAAGAAGTAACGTTGTCCCTCTTTGTGAACAACATCTTACGTATAGAAAACGCTTTAAAAATGCCATTAAAAAAAACCTCTTAGAACTAATAAATTCAGAGAGTTGCAGGATACAAAACAAACATATAAAAAATTATCTGCATTTCTGCACACTAAAAACAAACTATTCTGTTGTTTATCCACCCAGTCTATGATATTCCACTATAGCATTCTGAACTGACTGAGACAATGCCTAACTAGCAAGAGACTGAAAATGTTACTTTTTGGATTCCATATTTATTCACTCAAAAAAAAAAAATGCATTGAGCACTTATTATGTGCCAGGAACATTTTTAAGGAACTTTCTCCAGGTTTGCAAGACATTTTTAAGATGCTGTGGCTGGAGTGATGGCTCATGCCTATAATCCCAGCACTTTGTGAGTGAGGCTGAGGCGGGCAGATCACTTGAGCCCAAGAGCTTGAGACCACCTTGGGCAACATGTGAAATCCCATCTCTACAAAAAATACATTAACTGGATGTGGTGGTGTGCAGTTGCAATTTCAGCTTCTGAAGGGGCTGAGGTGTGAGCCTCAC